CTGCAGGACTCTGGCCCTATAGTCTTAGTTGGGTTTGTTGCTACCCACTTATATGTTAGTAAAAAATAATCCCACTGGCTTTTCTGGCTTAGCCTTGTGCCCTGGGTCTCCTTGCCGCTGCCACTGGAATCCATGTGTCGCTTCCTCAAGCCTGGTTCCAAGCTCCGTTTCCCCTCAGCTCTCTTCAGTCACCACGCTCTCCTGTCCAGCTCCACATCTTCTCCCCATCTGGTGCGCCAGCCCTCTGCTGAGGGTCCTGGAGAAAGGCCACTGAACCATGTCGGCATGGATTTACGCTCCCTGGTATCAGCATCGTGCTCTCGTTGCTGGCTTTCATCTCTTCACTACAGCTCTAGGGAAGATGTGTGACTAGCTTGACTTATAAAGGAGGAAGCAAAGGCTCAGAGGGGATAGATGACCTGCCCAAAGTCACATGGCTGGTAAGTGACAGAGCGAAGGAGTAGGACTTTCTAACCACACGCTCATGCTCTTAATGCCACGATGTGCTGTTCTTAGAAAAGCAGTTTGAATGAAGGTAACAGATGATGCCAGGTGCTGGTTACATGGAGATTTATTCATTCCTCCTCTGAAAAAGTAACTCTCTAAGACTTAGCGATACAGGAAATACATAGACATTTTTAAAAATGTTATATGGAGTATAAAATCTGAACACTTCTTGTTCTCATACCTATTCATCTAATCCCTAGAGGAGAATACAGGTGACTGGTGGAAATCCTTTTATGCATATTTATATATGTACGTATACACATATATTTACACAGATTTTTTTTTGATGTTTATTTTTGAGAGAGAGAGACAGAATGTGAATAGGGGAGGGGCAGAGAGAGAGAGAGAGGGAGACACAGAATCTGAAGCAGGCTCCAGGCTTGAGCTGTCTGCACAGAGCCCGACACGGGGCTCGAACTCACAGGCTGTGAGATCATGACCTGAGCGAAAGTCAGACACTTAACTGACTGAGGCCCCCAGGTGCCCCTACACGGATATATTGTGCACATGCTCATGTGTTTCTTCAGAATCCATCAGGGAATTACTGGGTCAAACAGTAATGCATTTAAAAATTTGAAAGTATTGCCCTCCACAAGGCACCACGAGTTTTCACTCACCAATCTTGTGGTATATGACTTGGGAATATGCCAGAAATCCTTTTTGGGAACAGGTGGGATATAAATAAGAAATTAATGCTTTGTAAAAACCTCTCAGCCAGAGAGAGTGGTGGCTTGGCTACTAGGGAAGTTACCAGCTCTCAATCCCAGACCACAAGGCACGCCTGCAGTGCCAGCTTTGACCCGCTGATTCGATGCATGCCACCTTTGGGAGGGAGTAGGAAGGAGGCCTGAATTTCCCAGTCTTTGCAGAAAAAAGAGCCCTCTGATGTCTTGCTTACCTTGGCTGCACCAGCTCCAGGCCCCACCTGCCTGGCCTGGTTTGGGGCAGACTGCCTGGCTATCCGTGGACTGCCCTGGAAACTAGCCACTGTCACACCTCTTAAAGCACGGAAAACAACCAGGAGAGGGACTTGCAGAGCCTGGAGCGAGGGTGAAAGGGAGGCCGGCCTGTCCATGCTGGTCTTCCCCCATCTAGCCCAGGGAAACCTTGGGTTAAGGCTTGCTAATGCAGTAGATCTCTGTCATCCGCCTTCCCCCAAAACGTGGTGTTAGTTTATGTACTTTTCAAAAAAATTTTTATTTATTTCTAGGAGAGAGAGACAGCGTGAGCAGGGGAGGGTCAGAGAGAGAGGGAGATACAGACTCTGAAACAGGCTCCAGGCTCTGAGCTGGCAGTCAGCATAGAGCCCGACGCGGGGCTTGAACCCACAAACCGCGAGATCATGACCTAAGCAAAAGTCAGATGCTTAACCGACTAAGCCACCATCAAAAACACTTTTTAAAAGAGCCTTTTGATATACCTGAGGAAGATTTGGTGAAGAGAAGCAGCAGCAGATTGGAGTTTAGAGCCCTTCTTCTTCCCATTCCTTCCTATATGTATATACACAGAGGTTCATAGGTAGTGATCCTAGAGAGTACAGGCCCCAACTCCCTATATAGCAGTTTTTATTTAATTTTCTTTTGAACAGAAAAAAGTGACCAAATGTGAAGTTGCTTTTAAATTTTAAGAGAAGGTAAGTCTACTTTGGTTTAACATTTTCCTTCCAGACAAAGGTCCTAAGATAGATATATTTTAAATATATAAGCAACCCATGATCATATGCTTCTTGTGATAAAATAGTACATAAAGTAACTCTCATGTCAAAAGTGAATATATTCCCTTTTTAGTTCCTCCTAATACTCTCCTCCCCAGAGGGAACTATGGTTAACACGTTAGAGTATTTCGAGATCTCTTCCTTTGCAGTTACAGATACAAATCCATATATTCATGGCCTTTTTATTTTACTTATTTTTACTTTTTTAAAAAAAAAGTTTATTGGGGCGCCTGGGTGGCTTAGTCGGTTAAGCGTCCGACTTTCGCTTAGGTCATGATCTTGCGGTTCGTGGGTTCAAGCCCCGCGTCGGGCTCTGTGCTGACTGCCAGCTCAGAGCCTGGAGCCTATTTCAGTCTGTGACTCCCTCCCTCTCTGACCCTCCCCTGCTCACGCTATCTCTCTCTCTCTCTCTCTCCTAGAAATAAATAAAACATTAAAAAAAATTTAGAAAAAAAAGTTTATTATTTTAGGGGAGAGAGCATGTACACCCAGGTGCCAGCAGGGGAAGGGCAGAGAGAGAGAGAGAATCCCAAGCAAGCTCTGCAATATCAGCACAGAGCCTACAGAGCCTGTGAAGGGGCTGGAACCCACGAACTGTGACATCATGACCTGAGCCGAAATCAAGAGTCGTATGCTTAACCCACTGAGCCACCAGGGTGTGCCCCTCCCCTTTCTTTCCATGTCCTTTTTATTTTAAGCAAATGGGATTCCATGCCTTGTCTCCCCTCCCCCTCCCCCCACATATATCTTTAAGTTTTCTCTATACTGGTACATATAGATGGATCTCATTATTTTTTTAAAGATTTTTTAAAAATGTTTATTGATGTTTGAGAGAGGGAGAACACATGTGTGAGCACACTTGAGCAAGTCTATGTGCTGACAGCAGAGAGCCTAACGTGGGGCTCTAACTCACAAAACTGTGAGATCATGACCTGAGCCAAAATAAGAGAGATGCTGAACAGATCAGCCTGGGATCTCATTCTTTTTAACATGTGCATAACTTGAATGGATACAACTGGACTTTATTGTACTTTTTCAGTGTTACAAATGGTCCTACAGTAAACATCTTTGCACTAAAGGGGGTAATACATTTGTTACCATCCCTAGAAAGAGAAAAACTAGTAACTAGTCCTGAGAACTCTGAGAACAAAGCTTCAGTGAGCAAGTGAGTGGGGAATGGCTGCATTCTGAGCCTCCCTCCTGGTGATTCACGATTAAGTAGCATTTTAAAAGTTCTGGAAATTCTTCAGTAACCACTCACAGCTGAGTGGTTTTAAAAGTTGTTTGCGAAGGGAAGGACTTGAATTCTTTGTACACCTCTATTAAAATTTTCCTGAACGGTTTGGTAAATGCCCCCGTGGTAATCTCTCAAAGACAGGACAGTTTTAGATAGGAACTCGGCCACATACTATTCCACCAGGCTGGGCAGCTGGGGTGGAGTAAGGTTTGGATTTTGTCCAGGAACCAGGCTAGGTCTGTCAGCCCCTCCCAAGCCCCTTACATAAAGTGAGAAGGCCAGAGCAAGGCCTGGCATAAATTAAGTATTGAGGCTGACCATGGGGAGAAAGGGGAGTTTCACTCTGGCCTAAGTCTGGGTAGGATGTGATATCAGACCTAGCAGACACACTACGTCAGTTGTAGGCCCAGGCCTCCAACACAGAAGACTGTTCGTCCAGAATCCCTAGAGAGGGAGCCAACTTGGAGTGTGAGAGGACACCCTTAACCCACCCTTCACCCACTCAACCCCCTGGCCCACCTCCTCCAATTGGTGAAATCACGGTTAACTTCCAGGGCTCAGTGCAGATGTTACCTCTGTGAAGCCTCTCCCCCATTGGCTAGACCACTCCAGTGTGTTCTGGTAGCGTCTTTGCTGTGCCTCTTTTAGTTCATTCATACTTACTGGGTTGGTCAAGAGGAAGGGCCACATCATGGATTATGTACTTCACAGTCTTCCCCAGCAAAGGGGAGCTCCTTCAGAGTGGTGCATTCCTTCACTCAGTCACTCATTATTGAGCACCTACTTACTATGTCCAGCATTAGCTGGACTGTCAGAATATAGTAGTGAATAAAGTGGACACAATCCCTGTCCTCATTCATAGTCTTATGTTCCCTGTAGTCTAGCACAAAGTCGAGCCCAAAGCCTGGCACAGTAGGATTTAGAAATTGTAATCTAATTGGAAAGCTGCTTTTGCAAGGCAAGCGCTTTTAACTTCAGTGCTACAGATTAAAAAACATTTTCTCAGGATGCCTTGTCTACAGTTCATATGACAGAAAGTTAATTGACTGTATGAAATATTTTAGAGACATTTGAGGGGCGCCTGGGTGGCTTAGTCGGTTAAGCGTCCGACTTTCGCTTAGGTCATGATCTCGCGGTTCGTGGGTTCGAGCCCCGCGTCGGGCTCTGTGCTGACTGCCGGCTCAGAGCCTGGAGCCTATTTCAGAGTCTGTATCTCCCTCTCTCTCTCTCTGACCCTCCCCTGCTCACGCTGTCTCTCTCTCTCTCTCTCTTAGAAATAAATAAAAAAAAACCATTAAAAAAAAAAAGACATTTGAGGTGAGGTGACTTTGGGGACCTGATGGAGAGTTTGGGCGTTGGCACCCCCAGACACCCTTACAGCTCACCGCCCGGTTGGGCCCAAGCTGGCGGCGAGCCGGCAGCCGGCCGCTGTCCCGCAGGCCCCGCCCCCGCCCCGCCCCGCCCCAGGTGCCACCCCGGGCCCCGCCCCCGCTCTCCATAGTTACGGCGCTGCGGAGGCGGCGGCCATCTTGGCGGTGAAGCGATGAGCGGGTCGAACCCGAAGGCTGCGGCCGTGGGGTCAGCGGCTGGGCCCGGGGGGCTGGTGGGGGGCAAAGAGGAGAAGAAGAAGGCGGGCGGCGGCGTCCTGAACCGACTCAAGGCGCGGCGGCAGGCGCCCCACCACGCGGCAGAGGACTGCATCGGGGCGGCGGTCACGGAGCAGGAGCTGCTGGCTCTGGACACCATCCGGCCCGAGCACGTCCTGCGCCTCAGCCGGGTCACCGAGAGTGAGTGCCCGCCCTGCCGCGCCCAGCCCTCGCGCCGGGCCCCGGGCCCCTTGTCGCCTTCAGCGGAGCCGGCCGCCCGCCGCCTGACCGGCCCGGGGGTGCACCCTGGCCCCCCCCTCCTCCCGGGTCGGCCAGGCCGCGCCGCCCGCCGCTCAGCCGGGCGGGCTCTGCGCCTCCCACCCTCACCTAGCCTAGGTTGGGAAGGGGCTCTCCTTGAGCTTGACTGCGTTCCCCCGTCCAGCCACGCTAGGCTTCTCCCGCGCCGGCCGTTCTCCTCAGCTGGGTGTGTTTGGGTAGGGAGCCCCCTTAGCTTAACCGGATCCTCCTGACCCTGGTAAGTGGGACTGCTGCGCCCTCATCCTGGAAGACCCACAGGTATCAGCGAAGTTCCTGCCCAGCCAGGCACTCCCCGCAGCCTGTGCCCGCCCAGACCCCTGCCCTCTCCACTCCTGTGTCCACTCCGGCCCCCTGGCAGCCTCCTCCCCAGCCTGCCTTGACCGCCCTACCCTTTTTGGTCCCAAGCCTTGCCTCTTTGTGTGCAGGGAGGGTTCTTCCTTCCTCAAACATAGTGCCGTGGCCTTTCATGCAAATTTTAAACTGCTACATTAAAAAATACGTTTGTAAAGTTTCAGTTTATGTACACAGCCCAAAACGTGAATCCTGCTCTTGACACCTGCTCTAGTGAATTAAGAACGCCTCACGCGGCCATCCTACTACCCCTTTCCATTGATGGAAGCAAGGGTGGGAAGCAACATACTGCCCACCGCCCTCTCCGGGTTCTCCTTCCTTTCTCGGTTCTCTTCCAAGCCAAGCCCTGACTTGCTGCCCTTTGTTTTGCTGCTCTTTCTCCCCCAGAATTTGCATTCACCTAGTTAGACCCTGCTGCCCTCCAGACTTGTAACCCTGCAGCATCCATACTCCCTATGCGGATCTAAGGCTGCCATGGCATCATCTGCTGAAGGCCTGCTGCTATCAGCCTGGGCCGCTCAGGTGTACCTCAGGGAGCTGCGGGCAGCTCCAGTGACGTGGGAATGGGGTTCAGGCGGTGGGCCTTGGTCCACCCAGTAGGAAAAGGGAATTCCCGTCTCCCAAAGGTTTAACTTGATTCCGGGTATTTCCATGTCCCCGTTTTCCATCACTGTTTGGGTTGGGCCTGTCCTTTGCATGCCTGAATATATCTTTAGCAGGTCTTACTCTCCCGTTTATTGAAACACGGGGAAAACACTGCTTTTGTTCTGTTTCAGTTCTCATTTGGGACCCTGAACGTATGGAAGTGCTCATCACTGGAGCCTTCTAACCGCATACTTTCTCCTCATACCAAGGCTGAATCAGGCCATTGTAATGCCTGGCCCCAGGCAGCATTCGTGGTGGGCAAAGGTCCTGTGTAGGAGCTTGGTGCTGTTGCTTCCATTCATGTCAGCAGCCTACAGGTCAGAGCTTGGTGACCTCTGGATTTTGTTAAAGTCTCTTCCCTTCAGTTTGTTTACGGAGTACCCTCTAAAGGTGCAGAGTCCTCCTCAGTCTTTTTCAGATTTACAAAATAATCAGGAGGTCTCCAGTTTGCCGTCATGCGGTCAGGAGTCATCGTAGAAAGAAAGCAGCGAGATTTTCTCTGATCAGCATTGTACTGACGAGCTGCTAAGGTAGTTAGAGGTTCCACATCACTTTGGCGGGGTCCCCTCACCAGCCAGTCTGTTCCGTCACCAGTGTAGGCGTGGCCCACCGCCGCATTTCGTACAGCCCACAAGCCAAGAAGGGTTTTTACAGTTTTAAATAGTTGGGGAGGAGGGGAATCTTGCCCCACACGGTTACCTGCAATTCATATTTCAATATCTGTAAATACTTTTATTGGATTACAGCTGTGCTCATTCATTTGTGTGTTGTCTGTGGCTGCTTTTGCACTTCAGTGACAAGAGTTGAGTAGTTGTGACAGAGGCAGGGTGGCCCCAGAGTCTAAACTATTTATGATCTGGCTCTTTACAAAGTTTGCTGCTTTCTGCTTCATGATACTAAAGGCTGGCAAACAAGTACTATATTTGCCATTAGATCAGCATGAATGTTTTTAAGTGGATTTCTAAAAAAAATTCTGTCCCGTTGTGATATCCAAGGTGTTTCCAAAGGAATCCCCTTACACTATCCCTGTTTCTTAAGATGGTACTATAATCTTTCATGCAGACCAAATCCATGCTCTTTTTTTCTTTCTTTGATCATCCCCTTACTTCTCTTCATGCAACTTTTGCTTTTAACGTAAGAGGAAGTTTTTGGGTGTATTTTAAGTGAATTGTGTTTGAAAAAACCCCTGAGTTTGCTTCAAAACTTGAGAAAGAAATGAATGGTAGTTTTGGATGATTATTTAACAGCATTGGTGTGTGTGTGTCTCTCTCTCATTTCAGATTATTTATGTAAACCTGAAGATAACATCTACAGTATTGATTTCACCCGCTTCAAAATTCGAGATTTGGAGACGGGGACGGTGCTATTTGAGATTGCCAAACCTTGTGTTTCAGGTAGGCCTCAGTATTGTGGCAGTCACTTCATTTTTTTTTTTAATGTTTTATTTATTTTTGAGAGACAGCGTGAGCAGGGGAAGGTCAGAGAGAGGGAGACAGAATCCGAAGACAGGCTCCAGGCTCTGAGTTAGCCATCAGCACAGAGCCTGACGCAGGGCTTGAACCCACAAACTGAGATCATGACCTGAACCGAAGTCGGACGCTTAACTGACTGAGCCACCCAGGCGCCCCTGTAACAGTCACTTCAAACGGTCCTTGAAGCTCAAATTCGCACGAACTGTTGCCTCCTGCGGCAGGGACCCCAGCGTGTCCACTTCTGTGCCTCAGCCTGCAGCCTGGGCCGCTGCATGCATTGTTTCGCAGTGGCGCTAAGAGGCTGATGTTTGTTGAGTATCTGCTCTGTGCTGGGTGCTGTGTCTCACCTGGTTCTGTTTACATCAGGTCATGTGATCCCCTTGTGAGGAGCTATTATTCCCATTTTACAGATAAGGAAACTGGGTCCCAGAATTTCCAAGTGACTTTCCCAAGGTCCTGTGCTTATTCCTCTTACCATGTTGCCTCTGCTTAGGAAAGTAAGCCTTGGAATTAAAGTAGAATGAGGAAAGCTCACCTGAGCCATTGTGTCCTGGGGACACTGGAAGGGTATTGCTGGGGGGTCCCGGTCCAAGCTCACTTGTCTTCTCCTCCCTTGCTTTCCTTTCAACAGTGTCTTCTATTTCCTTGTAAGGCCTAGTTTGGATTTAATTCACCATTTTCTGGAGGAACAGAAAGCGCAGACCTATGAACTGATCTACTTGGGATTCCTTAAATTAGCCTTGAATAGGTGCTTCCTGTGCTTGTAGTGCACACAGCTCCTCTCTGGTATCTGACCACACGGAAGTCGTTGGAGCGCATCACTGGAGCTCGAGCACCCCCTGGAGTTAGTTACTAGAACACCAGCACAGATGACTGCAGTATGAGCTGAAGTCTGTATCAGGAATTCTTTTTGCAAAACTCTTCTTATGTGATTGGCTACTCAGAAGGAGCCTGTAAACTTGGTAAGGCAGGTGTCAGTAGCCCAGGCAGGTCGAAGGGCTTTCCCCAGAAGGTCTCGGCTCAGGTTCATTGCACCGCAAGGCTGGAGCCCTGGTCTTCTCACCCCACCTTCATGCTCTCATAATCTGGTGCTGACCAAGGCACCTGAAGGCTCCAGCTTGTGGGTACTTAGCAGGTATTGGGAGGATTAGGGCCAGGCAGCCTCCTGGGCTGAGCGAAATGTCCCAGTGCTTTGGATGTTTCGAGGACCCCAGAGCCATTTCAGATGTGTGGATTTGGAGTAGGCTGGGCCCAGAGTAGTCCTTTCAGTAAAAAAATGAACTGTCTCAAGCAGGGAGGCTACAGAGCGTGTGAAGATGCCTTCATTTTCAACTTCTCCAGTCTTTACCTTTAAGGATCTTGATTCACTTAGAATATTCCTTCACTGAATCAGTACCTTCGTACAGCACTTGCTCTGATGAGTTTGACTCCCTGAGATGTGGTCTGATCTCTTTATCACATTGTTGGAGCGAGGGCTCTAGAGTCTCTGGCGCTGAACGCCTGCTCAGTCTGGTTCCCCGTTTGCTCTTGGGTTTGTGATAGGCAGAGATGTTTGGGGTTAAAAAAAGACGTAAGTTGCACCCACATTCAGCCAATACCTGGAGAAAATATTTTTGCTGGACGCTGGCTGGCAACTAGTGGGAACTACCTCCTTGTTCACATTAGAATGGTTCTCTGATTCATTTTACAAAACTTCCATTTCCTGAGCTCAGGAATGAACTAGACTCCCCCTCCGTCAGGTCCAGCATGTTGGTTCATTGCTCATCTACCTCACTGTTTCCCAGGTTGTCGGTGCCTGACCTGGCACAGCCTGGGATGGGCATCACAGTACCCCAAGGCTGCAGGCCCGTGTCTTCCATTTACATGACAAGATTATTAGCTTGTCTTTGCTGCCTGTCAGAAAGTTTTGTGTTCTTTGAACTTGCCTTTTGACTATTTTCAACCCTCGTAGACATGTTCTTTTGGTTAGTGGCTAGCACTGCGACCTCGTGACCGTGTATAATATAGACCATGCCAGGGACCTAGTACCCTGCTTGTGTTTCAGGCTTCCCTCTTAGGATACGGCCCAAGCCACTCAGCTACATAAAAGGTAAATAGTTTAATGTTTTAAGGACAAGCTTCAAGTCAGATGGACCTGGCTTCAAATCCCCGTTCCCTCCCTGTACTATTTGGGGGGAATTTGGACGTGCTACTTCATCTCTCTGGGCTTCTGCATCCTTATCTGTAAGATGGAGATAATGGCGACACTCCACAGGGTGGGGAGGAGTCTGTGAAATGACTAGCATGCGGCCCGATCTGTAGCAAGGGCCCAGTAAATATCGGCCATCCTGCTGTTGGCATTAGTGCTGTTAATTGGTTGTGCTGTTTGGTCTGGTGACCGAGACCGTGTGCTCAGGATTCCTTGTGTTCTTTCAGACCAAGAGGAGGAGGAGGAGGAAGAGGAAGGTGGAGATGTGGATATCAGTGCGGGACGTTTTGTCCGTTATCAGTTCACACCGGCGTTTCTCCGCCTCCGCACAGTCGGGGCTACGTGAGTACCAGTATTTCCGGAGGGGAGAACACTCGCTGGTCCACAAAGAATGTTCTCGGTTGGAATCTGGGTTGGCTTTAAGGAAGGGAGGAGACAAAGTACGGCTCACAGAGATTTATTTTGCAGAGTGGAGTTCACAGTGGGAGACAAACCTGTGTCAAACTTCCGGATGATTGAGCGGCACTATTTCCGGGAACGCTTGCTGAAAAACTTTGACTTTGATTTCGGCTTCTGCATCCCCAGCAGCAGGAACACTTGTGAACATATCTATGAGTTCCCCCAGCTTTCTGAGGATGTCAGTATGTATCCCCTGACTTCACCCTGTCCTAGATTCTTAAGACTAGAAGGAACAAGCCTTGGAGTCTATCTGGTCCAGTGCCCTCATTTGGCAGAGGAGGGAGGTAGTGACGTGATGCCTCTCCAGGCGTTTGACCTCAGGCTTCTCATTTCCTAGTGCTCCTGTCTAGGGCTTCAGACTCTGCCTGTATGGGAGCATCAAAGGTTTTAATAATGCAGGCTGCCCGCTCTGGGTGCCTGCTGCAGGGGTGACTGAGGAAGAGGAGGGGAGGCCCATGACGATCCCTGGGACTGTGGGACTAAGGTTAGCCAGAGCACCTCTCCGAGCCTCCGTTAGGCTTGGTTTTCCACCGTGTTCTAGTCATTGGCTCCTGCTCGGCACCCCTTGTTTGCCCTCCCCTTTCTCCTTAGAGGGAGAAGTGCAGCTGGGGGCTGAATAGAGTCAGAGGTCTGGGGACCTCAAGTTCCCCTTCTCTGCAAGTAGAAGGTTGAGTAGATAAACTGTTAGAGTAAATTCACAGGAAATAGGGAGCTGCTATAGGATTTGGAGCAGAAGGAATGGCCGGATGGAAGCCACATCTTAGGAAGAGTAATCCTCTAGTCCCGATGGGAAAAACGGGGGAGGCCAGAGGGAGGAGCGGAGGCAGGTGAAGGGAGAAAGAGAGAGAGAGCAGGCCTCATCAGTTCCCGTGGCTCTGGTGGAGCTGTCTCGGGTTAGCATCATCTGTTAGTAAGCAGGGAAACCGGCTCCCGAACACTGAGAATATGAGCGGGATCCTGTGAATAGTGGGGGGAGTTTGGCTGAATTGTAGGGAAGGATCTACATATACTGACTGGTTTTCTCAGAATCCCAGGTGCTTACAATTGTTACATTCTGAAAACCAGAATGTTTTTCACTCACGTGGCAATGCTGTTCTTAGGTAGAATGAGGCTTGCTGCCATGGGGCGGGCTGTTTATGACAGCATCTGGTCCTGGTTTGAACCCCACTCCCCAGCCTGGGCCAGAACATGGAGATACTTACAAGGAAAGATTATGTACAGCAGGTCAAGTTTTTGCCCAAAGCGATAGAACTTTTCTTCTTGATACCTCATAAGCTGAAAGAGGGTGAAGGTCAATATTCTAGATATAAACCAAATAACTTTGGCCTAAGTGGGTTCAAGGGACTTTCATCTTTTGAGAACTGTGGTAAACAAGAACGTTTCCTCCCGAGGGACCAAAATAGCATGTGATCATTAACTCAAAACTGATCAGCGGTAGTGACTTAATTATCTTCACTCTCCAGTATGGTTCAAGAGGTCTGGGCAACTGCCTGGACAAATGAGATTTAAATCTGGATTCCAAGACAAGCAGACCTTTTGCTGAATCATTTGCAAGTTAATACCCTGAGCCATCCCTGTAAAAGGCTCCTTGCCCTTTGTCACCCTGCACCCACATATACCTAGGATTCCTTTGGTTGTCAGGGGTGCCCGTGGGAACTGGGCACAGTGAGGCACAGCTTTTGGAATTTGGACCAGAATGTCCAGTGGTGGGGAACAGACCAGAAGTACTTAATAAACAATCCACGGTAGTCCATGTTGCCAAAAGGGTAATCCTGTGTCCCTGGAGTCCTGAGTATGAATCCAGGCTCGGGGTGCCCGAGGAATACCATGTCAGAGAGAGGATTGCATCCTTATGTTGAGGTGGGTAACATGTTTAATTTGGGGGCCTCTGGGGTTCTCTCCAGCTCTCCAAGCCTGGCCCCCTCTGTTCTGACCTCGTTATTCTAACAGAGTCTACACACACGTTCTGGAGGGCTGGCTTAGGAATTTTAGAGGGGACACCAGCTTTGCGCTGACAGCAGGGGACCTGATGCAGGGCTTGAACGGGGCTTGAACTCACAAACTGAGATCATGACCTGAGCTGAAGTTGGACACTTAACCAGCTGAGCCACCCAGTTGCCCCTTAGAGGGGATACTGAGTTTTTCCCCACCCCATCCATGGGGCAGACTCACACATAAGTCTTTGCTTTTTCCCTTTCTCTGACTTGCAGTTCGTCTGATGATTGAAAATCCCTATGAGACCCGTTCTGACAGCTTCTACTTTGTTGACAACAAGCTGATAATGCACAACAAGGCTGATTATGCCTATAACGGAGGCCAGTGACTGCTGCGGGAGCGGACAGGGAGGTGCTTTGCTGTGGCCTGAGGTCCCGGCACACGGAGGTGGTTGAACCTGCTGTTCATCAACACACATCTGGAACCTGGTCCCAGGAAGCCAAGGCTGGGGTGGGGGTTTCCTGTGGTCCAAGAGAGATGCCAAGCAGTGCCGTGTTTTCTTCCCTAGTACTTTTTCTTCCCTTTTTTCCCTGCCCTGTAGGTCACAGAGGTACTATAGTAAAGTAAAGGCTTAGGGAAAGTCCTGGAATCCAGAGAAAAAAGAGAATTTATTTTCGCGTAGTCCTAGCTGCCTGCTGGTGGCGCTGTTGAGCCCGGGGCTCTGCGGGCACAGCCGCGTCGGCGTAAGGAGGCTCTGGCTGGCAGGCTCGCCAGTCAGTGGCTTTTCCATAGGTTCCTGGGCGCTGTGAGAGGCTGAACCGTGGGCCTCTTCCAGGCAGCTCGCCCTCTCACAGTATTGCCGGCGGCATGGTCCAACCTCAGCTTGTGTGTAGTTCGAAAGCAACTGGAAAGAAAGCGGGTGCAGAGTGGAGGCGCTAGCGGCCGGCAGGGATGCCAAACTGAAAGGTCCATGCTGTGAAGTGGCCTGCCTCTGTCTGGCTTCCAGGGTCCTCCGCCAGCCCTCCGGGGATACACCACGGTTTCAGCCTGGCGGCGCCTTCCTGTTCCCATTCTGGAGCAAAGATGAGCTTGCCTTGCGCATCCTGCCTCCGGACTTCTGAGTGTCTCCTGAAATAGAACGTGGCAGTTTTTTCTCTCGAGCAGTAGGATCTCTTGAGGCCATAGCAGGCCTCGTATTTTGTGTTATTTTATTTTTTATTCTAGGCTTCTTTTGGAGAGGTTTTATAAGATGTCAGTGGTGTTCCCAGCATATGTGATGTGTGGTTAGACTTCTGATAGTATTAATCAGGCTCCTGGGTCTAATCTGGCTCCTGTTGGGACCAGATGTAGTTACGGACCAACAGCTACTTAAAGGAAGGATTTGATTTTTCTCAACGCAGGAGGGCCTGCGGGATTGACTTTGATGGGGATTTGCCTCTGAAACTGTCTATAGATTTCTTATTTCGGAGGATTTTCCTGTCTGCCTTTCTAGGGAAGTAGTTTTTGGGACCATCCTGGCAGGTCAGACCTCTGATGCACATTCTAATCCTCTGTACTGCTAGTTGGAGTTCTTTTGGTTGTTTGGAAAGGATGAAGTAGCCTGAGGTGGCTCTCAAAGGGTGCTCTCAGACAACCTTCCTTGCACATCCTTGTGGGCTGCGTTTGTCCCCAGGCCCTTACTGGATAGACTCTTGCCACCTCAGCTCCGTATGGTTGTCTATGTCCCTGACTGTGGGTGGCTTTAGCTGCCCCTCTGATAAGACTGTTGCTGTGGCCACGATTTAGCCCTGACGGAAGGGTAGCAGTAGGAAGGCCCAGATGTGTGGTAAGTCACTGGGAAGCGGCATAGTGACTGATGGACAGCAGTTACCCAAGATGCTTGGGAGAAAGGCCATGTGGGGCCCGGGATGGAGGGCCAGCACTTTGCCGCAGAAAGTCCCCTGTGCATTCACTAACCAGTGTTGCTCCCTGTTTGGATTCTAGCGCATGGGTGGCCGTGAACCTTGGCCTAGCTCTCTGTGGCAGGCCAGAATCTGGGCTGTGTCAGGTGCCGGCAGCTTTCTCACTGAGAAAACCCTTACTTCTGTGTGTTGGACCTGGGGGTGACCACGGAGGGAAGGGAGGAGACCAGGCGCCCTGCAGACAGGTTACTCCTCACCAGGCTGGGTGAATTTTAGAACCAGAGTCCACTACAAATCTAGGTGCCTTATGTGTGACTCTGTCCCACGTGCTGGCTGGGAAAGCTGCCTTGGCCTCGTTTCCTCCTCATCTGTGGACAGACATCAGCACTGCCTCCTTACCTTCTCTTTCCCCTCTAGTGTATTTGTGTGTGCGTGTTGAGCTTCAGAATCACCCCTTCTCTATGTGACAGCAGCCTAATCAGGAGATTTTCTCCTATTTGATACACTTAGTATCTAGGATGTGGTTTCTGGAGCTGTCCAGAGCGCTGCTCAATAGAGTGTGTCTTGGAAATGTGTCCCTGGATAGATGAAGTCTTGCGGACTCGTGGCCTGTCTCTTCTATGCAGTGTTAGCCTTTGCTAGGAGGAGGGCAGAGGAGGCCGGCATTCTGGCCTGAATCGTGCCATAGCCTCCTCCCCGTCGGCTTGCCTTAGTCTCACTGGAGGCCGTTTTGAGGCCATATGCTAGGTCTGTGCCCACCAGGAAGAGATATGCCATCTTGTGCTCTGCAAGGTCGGTCTGGTGGTCTGTCCCTGGGAGTCTGCATTCGTATGTCTCGTTATTCAGGAAATCAGAGTTAACCATTCTGGGGTGTTAACCAGGGTGAGTTTGAAATTCAGATTTTTGTATCTGAGCTGGGGAGAGAATTGGAAGTCATATTTTCTCTGAAAGTAGCTGAAGCAATCAGAACTTGAGCCGGGAGGCCATGTTATTAAGGAACCTGGACTGTTGAGAGCACTTGTCTTGGGGGTGACACAGTTGGAGGGGAAATGACCTGCCCGGGGAGACCCTGCCTTCTGTTCAGAGCTGGTGGCCGAGTGGCAGCCGCTGGAGGAGACCGGCGGGCACACCTGGGGCCACAGGGCCGGTGCCTGCACCTCTTCCTGTCCTGTCCTGTCCTGCTCCTCTGCCTTGGAATCTCCAGGAAGAGCATCTCTTCCTGTGGAGCCTTTGGGCTAAGATGCCCTTCTTGCTTCTCCAAAGAAGATCCTTGTTGATTTCATTCTGTTCTAAAGAGTGAGCAGAAGAAATAACAACTGGAAGTAGTTCTGGGCTACAGTAGGTGGCCCCGTCCTGATACGTTGGCTCAGACATGTTTTGCAGAGAAATCAGTTTTCAAGGACATGCAGAGTCCCTGAGGACACGCACAGCCTTTGGGCCATCTGACTCCCAGACAGGGCCCGGGATTCAGGGAGGTTGGGCTAACCATAGACCGGTGAGTCTTGCAGTGGCAATGACGGGGAACTTTCAAGGGGGACCCATTTCTGAAATGAATTTCAGAGGCTCTGTGTACAGGACGAATTGGGTGAGTCTTGCCTTAGTGTCCTGCCACGCCCAGGGACTCCCGGGACACTCTTTTTTCTCTGTCAAGTCACTTTCTTTTGGTGGCTGTTGTCACCATGATGTCAGTGAGGTTTGGGGACCGGAGACTGCCTGCCTCCAGGACCCCAGCATAGATTTCCCTGCCAGGGCCGGGGGTTCCTGCGCACAGGTGCTGTGTCCCCAGCGGGAGAGCCTGGTCGTGGGATCATCACTTACTCACATTCCGTGTTACAGAGTATCTTCGCCACAAGAAGGGTCTGGTGGAGGCGGATTTACCCCTTGTTCTACCAAGGATCGTGTAAAGTCATTGAAGTTGTGAAAGTCTATTTTTCCCCCTGTAAATTGTAAATCTATTTTTCACAGAGTATAAGAAACATCAATGACCTGGTCTGTCCTTCCTCCTCGTTCCCCGTCACCTAAGACCCTCATTCCAGTTTGTATTGTCTTTGTGTCCGAAGTGAACTAGGTGACTTATTTGTATAAAATGTTATTTTGCCACAAGAGACAGTAATAAAAGATTTTCACAGTACACGCAGCCTCTTTTGTGTCCTGACCGAGCCCCTTGCATTGCTGGGGGGAGCACCAGTTTGTGTGACCTTTCTGTAAATAATGAGTATAGCTGGCTTTTAGGGTGAACAGGGAACAGTGTTTGGCTTTAGATTTAATATTTTTACTTTGTTTCACTGGGGTACTTTGGAAATCAAAAATTTGTATATATATATATATATATATATTTTAAATGCTTTATTTCTAGGAGAGAGAGAGGACAGCTTGAGCAGGGGAGGGTCAGAGAGAGAGGAAGCCACAGACTCAAACAGGCTCCAGGCTCTGAGCTGGCAATCAGCACAGAGCCTGATGCGGGGCTAGAACCCATGAACCGCGAAATCGTGACCTAAGTGAAAGTCGGACGCTTAACCGACTAAGCCACCCAGGCGCCCCCCAAAAATTTGTATATTTTAAAGTTAGGCTTATTATTATTATTTTTTAAGTGTTTTATTTATTTCTAGGAAAAAGAGAGAGACAGCTTGAGCAGGGGAGGGTCAGAGAGAGAGGGAGTCACAGACTGAAACAGGCTCCAGGCTCTGAGCTGGCAGTCAGCACAGAGCCCGACGCGGGGCTCGAACCCACGAACCGTGAGATCATGACCCAAGCGAAAGTCGGACGCTCAACCAACTAAGCCACCCAGGCGCCCAAAGTTAGGCTTATTATTAAGGTTTACTTTAACTGTAGTAAAGTTCACCTAGTTTAAGAGTACAGTTGGAAGAGTACGCAGCCTTATTACCCCGTCACAATCATGATGTAGGGATTTTGCATCACCCCAGAAAGTTCCCTCAAGTTCCTGGTGTTGCCAAAGGGCAGCTCCCTCCTTCCAGCCAAACCTCTTGCAACATTGTTATCTGTTTCTACTGGGAAATTTGCCTACTTTTAATATAAAACTAACACTCTTATTTAAGGTGACGATACAATTTTATTTTTAAATAAAAAAATTTAAAATATTTACTTAGCACAAGCAGGGAAGGGGCAGAGAGAGGGAGACACAATCTGAAGCAGACTCCAGGCCTCTGAGCTGTCAGCACAGAGCCTGACATGGGATTCGAACTCACGAGCTGTGAGATCATGACCTGAGCCAAAGTTGGGACGCTCAACTACTGAGCCACCCAGACACCCCGAGGTGACAGTACAATTTTAAGTCTGGTTTCGATGGTCTGTTGTACCCAAAATTATTGGCCTCTGCTCACCCACTCATTTCCCCTCTCCTGCTTTTTCCTGTCTTCTTTCACCCTGGGGCTGGCGCCCAGGTGGGGCAATAGAAAAGGTGAGGAAGGCCTCAGACCATTTGCCAGCCACAGTCATTCATCTGCCTTTAGGGATTGTGGATTTAGAGGCTTTCTTTTAAATGGATTGTAACATATTAAGGACTTTGCTGGATCTTTTAATTGATCTCCAGGCAGGCTGGGCAAGGTCTTGGTGGAAGGCAAATTTTGGCCTGCGGGTCAGTGCTGCTGGCAGGTGCCTGGCTGAATTACAGCGGTAGAAAGACAGGGACGGAGGGATGTGTGGGTGCTGGGGAGAGTGGGAGGTCAGACACACTTCTGCTAAGGGAACACCCTTGTCAGCAACTGGGATTGCCAGTTTCCTGGGGAGGGTGAGGGGCTCCTGAGGAGGATGCTAAGGACCAAGTGCATGGCATCGGGAGCAGTCCCCGTTTCTGCCAAAGGGGCCGTGCCTCACAACTGGGAGTGAGATGGGAACTACAGCGAAACAAGGGGAAACAGCCCCACCCCAGCCTCACAGCTGCTGGGGAAAGAGATCTCCCTCCCAGGCAACCCGATTCCCCGAGCCTGAATATTGAGCACCAGAACGAGACAGGACCTTTGTGCTTCTTGGGAGTTCACAGACCAGTGTGAGGACTCGAAAAGATGTCAGATGCTGGGTGCCGTGAATAAGGAAAACAAACGCTGGGTTGGAGAATGTGTGGTCCGGGCAGGCCTCGGTGAGTGAGACGTGGACGGAGGGAAGGAGCATTCCAAGGAGAGGAGCAGGGCTTGCAAAATTCCGGAGCCAGGAGCAGAAAAGCTGTTGCAGAAAAGCTGCCTGGTGCGGCCTGAGCAAAGACAGCGAGGGCCCGGTGGGCATGGTGGGCTTGGGGCGAGAGAAGTGGGCGGCGGGCGGCCATGTGGAGCATTTTAGGCTCCGAGCTTGGATTTTAGGAGAGACGGTCCACCGTCCAAGGGTTTTGAGAACCGAAGACCGCGGGGTCCCCGGAGAGTGCGGTTTGCGCTTGCTGGAGGGAGGCGGGGCCGGGAAGAGCCGCGGCGGACCCCGCCCCCGGGGCTGGAGCGCGTGCCGCCCCGCCCCCGGCTCCGCCCCCGCAGCCCGGAACCGGCGCGTCTGCGGCGGGAGGTCGGCGAGGAGAAGTCCCGCGCTGTGTCCGCGTCCATGGCCGCCGCGCTGCTCGCCCGGGCCTGCGGCCTCAGCCGCGGAGGTGAGTGCGCTCCCGCTCCGCGCAGCGGGGCGGCGGCGCGGGCCGGCCGGGCTCTCCCCGGTAACGGCTGGAGGGCTGGCGGCCCCACCTGCGGCAGCCCGCGCGGCCTTTGCCCGAGTTGGGCCGCTGCTGGCGCCTGCGCGGCCCCGGCTCCCGCCCCAACCCCCGCCTGCCGCCAGGCTCTCGCCGCCGTATCTGCACCCAGCCGGTCGTTACCCCGCCCGCGCAGGTCCGGGGCGCGTCCCTCCTCCCGGGCCAGGCCTGGGATTGAACCTTGACTCTGCGTCCCTGACCTTGGACAAGACGCTCGGCCCCCCGCCGCATTTGGCGGGCGCGTGTGTAAAATGGGCCGGCCAATGTGTTCTTGTTCTCAGGGAGTTGTTAACAAGGATTAAGTCACACACAGCCTGTGTAACACACTCAGTTCAGCGCCTGTCATGTGGTGCCCAGTGAGTGTGAGGTCTTGTTGATGATTTCACCCCGCACCTTTCCTGGCTTCTTTCTCTCTGTAGCAGCAGTGACACATGTGGCCAGGGCTTCCTTTGCCTGGCGGAGACCCAGCTCACCCTGCAGGACAGAAGGAGAGGACCCCCATTAAGGTCTGTCTCTGCTAGGTCCTGTGCTGACTGCTGCAGTCAGCGTCTCTTTAGCCCCATTTTCTAGGAACTGAGACCCAGTGAAGTTATGATCCTTGCCCGAGTAGTGTTATTACCATTAGTGTCCTAACGGGATAGTCCTGTGCAGAGTGTTTAGTAAGTGGAGTAAGCAATTCCGTTGGCGGGCATTTCTCAACAGCAGCACTAATTGACACGCTGGATCGATAATTCTTTTATTTTGAACGTTTTTTAATTTTAGAGAGAGATAGGGAGTGAATGCAAGCTGAGGAGAGGGGCAGAGGGAGAGAAACTTTTTTTTTTACTTTTATTTTGAGAGAGTGTGTGAGTGGGGGAGGGGCAGAGAGAGCGAGAATCCCAAGCAGGCCCCTCACTGTTAGCACAGAGCCAGATGTGGAGCTCAGTCTCACCAACCGTGAGATCATGACTTAAGCTGAAATCAAGAGTCCCGGTGCTTAACCCACTGAGCCACCCAGGCGCCCTGAACAACAGAATCTTTTTTTTTTTTTGAGAGACAGACTCTGAAGCAGACTCTACACTCCGCACTCAGCGTGGAGCTGGATGCTGGGTTCCATCCCACAACCCTAGGATCATGACCTGAGCCAAAGTCAAGAGTCAGACGCTCAGCCGACTGAGCCACCCAGGCGCCCCTGGGCAGATAATGCTTTGTTGTGGGATCTGTCCTGTACCTGGTACGGTGTTAGGCAGCGTTGCTGGCCTCTGCCCACTTCATAGCGATAGCATTTCACCCTTCAGTTGGGACAACCAGAACTGTTTCCAGACATTGCCGGGTGTCCTTTGGGGCATTCCTGGTGGAGGCCCACCAAGTCATTGGATTATCATGATGGTGGTGGTGGTGGTGGTGGTGGTGCATTCCCTTTCCACCAGCACTTGTTCTTGCCCGCAGCTCTGCGTCCTCGGAAATGGCGTCAGTTGCATACTATCTACCAGTCTGTGGAACTGCCAGAGACGCACCGGATGCTGCGCCAGACATGCCGGGAATTTGCCGAGAAGGAGCTGCTTCCCATTGCCGCCCAGGTGGACAAGGAGCATCGCTTCCCGACGGCCCAGGTGAGAGTTCCAACCCCAGCAGCCCCTGACAGTGGTCTGCCAGCCGCTCCTGGAGGCGTGGGGACAGTAACAGCCAGAGGCACCGAGACTCGCAGGCCAGGCACCCTAGGACCTGGAAAATGCTCTGGAGGTTTCCTTCCAGCATGGGGTCTGGATTGAACTTCTGGAATAAAAGTAATGACGGTGGGTGGGCATCACGCTTACCGTGTGCCAGGCGTCGTGCTGATAGTAAGAGTTAACGCTTGCTCTTACTCACGTGCTCAGCCCGGTTCCGAGGTGTGCCGCCCATCTGCATCTCCCAGTAGTCCCGTGAGGTGAGGGTACTGGTATTATACACGCGGTTATGTAGCTGGTGAACCCAGACTGACTCGAGGGCTAAACAAGGGGCCCCAGGTCACGGAGCTAACGAGCTGCAGAGCTAGGGCTGGGACCCAGCGCTCCGTCAGACCCCGAGCTCCCAGTGCCAGTGCTCTTGCCCTTGATGTCGCTCGTCTGTAATTTCCTGTTTCAGATGTTCCTGCTGTAGGGGCACCTGGGGGACTCGGGAGGTTGAGCGTCCGATTCTTGATTTCAGCTCAGGTCATGATCTCACGGTTCGTGAGATCAAGCCCCACATCAGGCTCTGTGGTGACAGCGAGGGCCCTACTTGGGATTCTGTGTCTCCCTCTCTCTCTCCCCTCCCTCCTCCTCTCTCTCTCTCAAGAAATAAACTTTGAAAACAAAAAAACAAAAGCTCTTCCTGCTGTATCCCCAGACCTGGCAAGCCCTGTGGCACATGGTACAAATATCCAATAGCTGTTTGTTCAGTAAATAACTTGTGAAGAAGAAAATCCTCTGGCCTCTTCTCTTGGCCTTCCCCCCACCCCGACCCCCGCTAAGGAGTTCAGGAGTTGCCATTCATGTCTTCTGGGCTCTGGGGCCACTTTTCCAGCTTTGAAAACACTGTGCTGGTCACAGCTTACTGGGCACTGCGCTTGGCACTGCGGCAGGTCCCCAGGGAGCTCTGGGGGTAGGGGAACCTGGCCTTCTGGGCCCCGGAAGGAGTTGGGTGACTCTGAGGTGTGGAGCACTTTGTGTGCGCCTCTTCTCTCGTCCTGAGGACATTCTCACTTGCAAGTCTAGTCTCCATTTAGCTTCTAGAATCCTTGCAAGGATTAGGTGGGGTAACGCATGCCAAGTTCTGGTGCCTCCTGGCCCTTGGGAAATGGTAGCTCGTAATACCAATACGTTGAGAAATTGGAGGCAGAGAGAGGTAACGTGATTTTCCAAGGTTACTCATCTGCGGCGCTGGACTTCATATCCCAAGTCTGGCTGCCTCTCAAGCCCTCCTCCATCCACTGGCCACGTGGGGAGCCCCATTCTAGTTGGGAATATTCTCGTCAAGGGCCTAAGCTGCCCTGCTGCCCTCTGTACCCACACGCACTGCTCTCAGTAACCTCATCTGGCCCTTTCCCTACATTTCTCGGTACCGTTAATGGAGGTATGGGCAAATTCCATCTCTCTGTGACCGTGACCAGAGGCTGGGAGTAGGCAGACGGGCCATTGAAAAGCAGGAAGCATTCCAAGGGGCTGTCCCCAGAGCGGTTGTGTGAGCACTGCTGTGTGGTGGGGCTTTCCTACCAAAAGACAGTCGGCTGGATTCACGTTTCCCTCAAATGCTTACTAAGATTACAGAGATTTGCTCTGGGCAAGAAAGCTGGCAGTAGAAACAGACTTTTTTTTTTTATCAAGCTCCTCTGAACTAATCCTCTGGCTTTACAATCTCCTCCCTGCTTCCTGGTGCCGGGCAGTTTGCAAGCTAACCCCCCAGAGCAGGGGGGCAAGACGCAGGCAGGGAGGGCAGAGGCCCCGGGCGGCAGCCTCCTTCCCACGGGCAGGTGGGAGCAGTGAACGCGCGGCCGTAGCTCAGAGCCGCGGCGGCATCTGTACTTGGGTCTGTGCCGGTCAGGGTGTTTTCACGTCTGTGATGTCCTTCAGTTGTCCCGAGTCCTGCTGTTATTATCCCTGTTCCATAGACAACAGAGGAGCCGATGCTTGAATTGCCTGGGGTTGCAGAGCGAGGAGGGAGTTGTGCTGAATCTTTGGATTTTGCCACCACCCAGTGTGTCTCGGTGGCTGATGGGATTATGGAGGTTAATCAGTGGCTTCCTTGGCCACGGATTGAGGCCTGTGGGGTTTTTGCTTTCCTCCCTCTCTCTGTTTCTGTGGAAGGTGCTCAACTCCCAGTTGCAGCAAGGAAGCCGGGGCTTACACGGGCAGAGGGGACAGGGCATTTGCCACACAGAGGACATGGCAGGTCATGAAATTCAAAATAATCCCACTAGTGTTTCCAGATGAACGAGAGAGAGGAACAGGAAGGCCTGTCCTGTGGGGGTTACTATATTCCATGTGCTTCTGCCTTACGTCTTCAGCACAACACCCTGGGGTAGGTACTTACATTATCTTCAGTTTTTAGGTAGAAACAGAAGCCACAGGGTAAGTTTCCTGCTTCCCAGTCACACACAGAGCCTATCAGAAAGAATCCATAGGGCCGCCTGGGGGGCCCAGTCGGTTGAGCATCCGACTTTGGCTCTGGTCATGATCTCACGGTTTGTGGGTTTGAGCCCCGCGTTGGGCTCTGTGCTAACAGCTCAGAGCCTGGAGCCTGTTTCAGATTCTGTGTCTCCTTCTCCCTCTGACCCTCCCCTGCTCACGCTCTCTCTCCCTCTCTCTCTCTCTCTCTCTTAGAAATAAATAAAACATTAAAAAAAAAAAAAAAAAAAAAAGAAAGAGCCCGTAGAGTCCTGAGCCCCCACCTGGCCTATAGTAGATGCTTAGTGATTTCTAATCTTTTTTCTTGAAGGACTTTTTCAGCACCTTCCCCGCCCCCAGATGTGTGGGAAAGGTCAAGGGGAGAAGAATTGAGGGAGGCAGACCAAGAACTAGCTGGAAGGCTAGTGCCAATTTCCTGCTTACTTGGCTGGTTTGGGAACCCAAGTTCAACTTCATTCTTCCTGAATCCAAACCAAAAAAAAAGAAAAAAGAAGGAAAAAAGGTATAAACATAAGCTTACAATGTTATTTGGTCATAAAGGGAAACAAGAAATAAAACGGTGTTTCAACTGATTTTGGATTTGCCAAACTGTATGTGTGGAAAACAGCCCCCGCGCCTGGCTGGCTCGGTCAGGAGAGCATGCGACTCTTGATTTCAGGGTCATGAGTTCGAGCCCCATGTTGGGTGTGGAGCCTACTAACCAAAACAAAACAGAATTGAGCCCCATTTCTTCTTCACTCAGTGACTGTTTATCGAGCATCCTCTCAGATGACCTGGTTAGCCACATACAAACCTCTAGGGCCATACCCCATTTTCCTCTTCCTCATGCCCACTGACTCCCGTCAGTCCTACCCTGGAATGTGTCCTGAAGGCCGCCTCCCATTTGTCCCAAGCAGACTTCATCAGTCTGTGTCCCGGGAACATCCTGTTCACAACCCGTGACTCCGGCTGTGCTCAGCATATCGCCGGGTGTGTGTATTTCCGCACCGATGTTGCAGGCGGCGAGCTGCAGTTTGTGTTCGCATGGCCCCGTGCACATGACACCCCGCTCTTAGTGAGTGCTCGACGTTCAGCAGGTGGTCGCTGAACTGAAGGAGGCTGTCGGGTCCCCCCGCAGGTCCTTGCTGCATCAGCAGGGAGCACCCACTAGCCAACAACGGACCCAGAAGAGGCCTCTTTCCCGCAAATAAACAGCTGATCTCCAACCAGCTGGGAGATACGATTCTTGTAAGGGAGATAGTTTGGACCCTAGTGAGCATACGCAAACCCAGGATCCATTTGATTTTGTAAAAATGTGAACTCTAGAGGCGACCTGAGGCATTGTTTTTATATGAAGTACCTGCTGAACGTTTTCCGGGCTGAAGGCAGCGCGCAGAAGGCTCACTCTGTTGCAGCCAGGAAGGGGGTCTTGTTCTTTCTTGCATCTCGGGAGTTTGGAGACCAGTGGGCTTGGCCTCCTCGGTGATGGTGTCTCACTTTGGGCTGCAGGTCTGGATTCCTGGCTCACAGACACAAGGGACCAAGAGTGGCCGTGTGGGTAGCTCTGGGAGGTTCCCCTTGAGGTGGCTCTGCTACCCAGGCCCCTCTGCTGGTTGGCTAGCATCTGCTCTTAGATCAGAAATGATTTCTACCACCGGCCACCTGTTCTTCACTTTTCTGCTGCTTTTCACCTCGGCCCTGGTTTCTTCCTCTTTTTGATGACACTGTCCATTGTCTCCACTGCCACGCTGCTTCTTTCCGTTGCCGGGGGTCTCTTTTCCAGGAAACGCTTGGATGAGCTTACATGGCGGCCATTATCGCTTCTGCCACCATGTTGCTCCTGGAATGTTCCTGTGGCTGGCTGTAGCGTCTTGCCAAGAGTTCTCACAGTCTGCTTCAGAAGAGAAAGATTGGGAAGAGCAGCCCCAGGCCCCAGGTGCCCCTGACCAAACTGGGTGAGCCTGATTGTGTGCAGGCTCTGGGCCTGGAGTGGGTGAGCGCCTGCCCTCAAGCATATTGTAGCTGGAGCTTTTTCAAGCAAACACTGACGGCAGAAAGTGGGGAAGGAGGGGACATGGGTGAGACTCTCAAGAGGAACGGCCTGGTCACGGGTGCAGTGATCTCTTGCAGGGACAGCCGTCAGGATAGCCAGTGGGAGGCGCTGCCGAGGGAGAGTACCCGGAGCTCTGCCTTCCTTGTGTAGACTTGGCTTGACCCCTTGTGTCCTCGGAACCCCCGCCTGGGAATTTGGGTTTCCTTTCTGTTTCCTGGGATGAGGTGGAGTTGTGGGGTGTTGGACTAATCCGTTCTTTATTCCAGGGCTGGACCCAGAAGGGCTGCGGGATGGGGAGGAGGTTGGGTGGCACTGGTAGCGTGGGGGCAGTTTTGCTGGTCGGCTAGAGGCGGCTTCCAGCAGGGTCCCCGGTCGAGGACCGTGCATGCGTCCTGGAGGCCTGCGGGTTTCCAGCACCTGGCGGAGTGTGTCCGGGACTTCCAACCCAGCACCACGTGCCCTAACAAAATGCTGGCCCTCCCCCCGGCACGGGTGAGTTGGCGACCTTAAAATGTGGGTCTGATGGTTTCTGTTTTGAGGTCACGCTCGTGCTGGCCTAGGGCCCTGTGAGGCCCCACATGAATTCAGATACAGTGCTGCGTAGATCAGTCTCCTTTCGACCCCTGCCCCGCCCTGGGCGCTTTACACCTGCCGAAACCCTACAGCGTCTGCGACGCCCCTCTCCGACGGCAGGTGTGCGGTCAGCACAGAATGTTTGTCTTTGCAGCAATTCTCGAAATGACACATCCCTGGCTCCTCTGGGTTCTTTATCACCATCTGTTAGTTTCCTCTTGCTGGTGTCCACAAACTAGTGGCTTGAAACGACACCACATTATTATCTGACAGCTCCCAGGGATCAAAAATCCAAAGTGGGACCCACTGGGGCCAGAGCAGCGTGCTGGCCAGGCTGCTTCTGGCGACTCTGGAGAAGTGTCTCTCTTCTCGCCTCTTCAGCTCGTGGAGGCCGCCTGCACTGCTGGCTCATGACCCGCTTCCAGGGGCGCTCAGGTCCGAGTCTGCTTCCATTGTCACCTCCCCTTCTCTGACCCTCCTGTCTCTCTCTTTCCCTTGTAAGGACCCTCAAGATGACCTCGGGTCCCCCTGGGTAATCCAGGGTGACCCCCATCTCCTCATCCTTAATTTCACCTGCAGAGCTTCCCACCCGTGTCCGCCCCCCTGTGGCCACAGAGCTTCATTGCAGTTGCGGGCTCTGCGGCTCAGTGCCTTTTGTGGTACCCTTGGGTTCTTTCCTTTCCGGAGAGGCCGAGGGGAGCAAGGCCACCTCAGGTGGAGTCTTACAGCAGAGTTTCCCCGGGAGCAGTTCAAGGCAGAATCTGGTAAGAAATTCAAAGAGAGGCACACAGATTATTATGGAAGTGCCCCTCCTCCTGTCCGTTCTTGTCCAGATGACAGCTTGTCAACCACTTAAGGGTAGTAAGTGCCGTTCGCTGATCACCCAGCTTTTACCAGGCACTGGCTCAGCGTTTTATTGTCTCAGCCCTTAAACAGGTCTGTGACGAAGGTTCTATTTGCAGAGGAAGTGAACCAATTTTATAATCACAGAAGTAATATTCTAGAAAAGTGAGAAGATATTGTGAACATTCTTATGTTTGCTTCTTTTAAGTTAAAATAATGTAAAATCACGGTTGCAAGAATCTGGTGACATAGAGGGCTCATAGAAAGCAAAGGTGCCCTTCCCCCCAGCCCCCACCCCTGCCTCTGCTGCTCCCCATAGACAGTTGGTTTTATTTGCTGTTTTTTGAAGCTCGGTAGGTTCTGTGGTCCCCATTGGGCAGGAGGAAAGCAGGCTTACGGAGGGTAGGCAGTCTGTCCCAGTTCAGAGGGGCGAAGCTGGGCGGTGTGCTGAGCTGGTTATGACCCGGGAGTCATGGCCCCCGGTGCAGTCCAGCTGTGCTGCTTATGAGCTCTGGCCCCGGGCACGTTGCTTCCTGTGTCTGAGCTCTGGAGAGACTCAGATGCGGAGTTGGGCACATAGCAGTCACTTGATGGTTGACCATTACTGGTATTGTTCCACATCATAAATTCCAAGGTCTTACCATCCGTTTGCTCTTTCATGGGGACTGGAAATATCGCATTGAGCAAAAAACCGTCTCTGCCGTCATGGTCAGGGAGAAGGACTGTAACCCAAACCAGCAGAGTAATAGGTGTGAGCTTGCAGCCACATAAGCACTGCACTGGAAAGGCACGGGTCCTGGGCGAGCGCAGTGAGAGGACAAAGAGATGGCAGCTGGAAGAAGCTCGGCTTGAGCTGAGGTCTGAAGGGAAGGAGGCGGCAACAACTAGTTTGTAAGTGATCAGAAACAGCATGTGCAAAGGCCCTGTGGTAGGGAGGCAGAATATGTGTGGGGGGCTGAGAAAAGGTCAGCATGACACTGCGCTGTCCTGCTCCTTACCTTGGAGGCCCCTGAGGGCTTCCCGTACCTTCTTCCTGCTCGCTGGCTATGGCCGCAGACACAGAGGTGAGCCAGTGTGGAGTGTGGGGGCAGACCAGCCTCTGTGCACAGTGCTGTCGTGCAGACCTCAGCTGAGGCTGGGCCTTCAGTGTCTGGGCTTGGGGATCACGGGGTGGGTGGATGGGGTCCCATGGCCCGTTTCTGCAGACACTGGCTCAGGAGCGTAAGGCGTGGGCACTGGCCCCCAGCGGCCCTTGCCACATCACCTTCCTCGGGGCCAGGTGAAGAAGATGGGCGAGCTGGGGCTTCTGGCCATGGATGTGCCCGAGGAGCTACGTGGTGCCGGCCTGGATTACCTGGCCTATGCCATTGCCATGGAGGAGATCAGTCGGGGCTGTGCCTCTACAGGAGTCATCATGAGCGTCAACAACGTGAGTTCCTGGGACACAGGGACACACAGGTGGGGGGGAGGCGCCCATGGGCAGCTGGGCACTCTGGCTGTGTGTCCCGGCATACTGGGCCCAGCCAGGCCTTGGTGCCCGGCCCCCGACCCCCTCTGGGCTTGGTCCTTTCAGGTAGGGCCCTGGAGAGAACAGGTCCTGGGGCGGGGCCCCCAGGCAGGCAGGTGGCCTCTGACCACCTCCCCACCCGCACCCCCTCCAGTCCCTCTACTTGGGGCCTATCCTGAAGTTCGGCTCCAAGGAGCAGCAGCAGCAGTGGATCACCCCTTTTACCAGTGGCGACAAAATTGGCTGCTTTGCACTCAGTGAACCAGGTACCACGGTGGACGGTGGTCGGCCCCCATCCCCTCACCTCCGAGTCAGAGCTACGGACTCAGGTTGGGGCGGGGTTGCCCGGCAGGGCGGAGGCAGGAGGGGGCCCTGTGGGAAGTCAGGGCACAGGCCTTCAGTGTGGGCTGCCTGGGAACGACCAAGGGGCACGCATGCAGCCGCCTCCGTTGAGCCGGGAGGGATGCCTGGCTCTGGGGCCCCTTCGGGGTGAAGACGCCCTGCTGCGGCCCACGCACCTCCGCCCTCCTGGACTCGTCTCAGAGCGTGGAGAGCCTGTGCCGCCTGGGAGCTTTCATTAGGAGCCAGAGCCTTGATTCTTTGGAGGCCGGGCGGCAGGGCCTTTGTGCTCATGAGCTGGGTTGGGGGGTGGGGGGAAGACGGAGGGGACCCTGCTTGCTAGTGGCAGTGCCCTTTGTGAGTTGGAGGCAGTGGATTCTGAGTCTGTGCGTGCCGCAGGGAATGGCAGTGACGCAGGAGCTGCCTCCACCACTGCCCGAGCGGAGGGTGACTCGTGGGTCCTGAACGGCACCAAGGCCTGGATCACCAACTCGTGGGAGGCCTCCGCCACGGTGGTCTTTGCCAGCACAGACAGATCCTTGCACAACAAGGTGGGCACTCCAGGGAGAGGGCCGATGAGGCCTCTGGGATGCAGACCTTCACCCGAATCCCCTTGGCTCCATGGATCTGTTCTCTTGGGCACCTTGGGGCTGCCCTCCCCCTCCCCGGCCCTCTTGTGGTCCTGAGGCTGGAGTCTGCACCTTCCCCAGGGTGGCCAGCAGAGGGCGCCCCGGCCTGTGGTCCGAGGGAGATGGAGGGAAGGGGCTGTTTGGTGCCTGGTGGGGGTCAGTGGGTGTGGCCGAGGCCAGCCTCTGAGAACCAACCTGGGTGTGTCTGGGCCTCACAGGGCATCAGTGCCTTCTTGGTTCCCATGCCGACACCTGGGCTCACGCTGGGGAAGAAGGAAGACAAGCTGGGCATCCGGGCCTCGTCCACGGCCAACCTCATCTTAGAGGACTGCCGCATCCCCAAGGACAACCTGCTGGGGGAGCCTGGGATGGGCTTCAAGATAGCCATGGTGAGCCTGGCAGCGGGGGCAGGGGCCCGGGGCCCCTCCGGCCAGCCACTGACCAGGGCCTTCCCCATAGCAAACCCTGGACATGGGGCGCATTGGCATTGCCGCCCAGGCCTTGGGCATCGCCCAGGCCGCCCTCGATTGTGCTGTGAACTACGCCGAGAATCGCAAGGCCTTCGGGGCGCCCCTCACCAAGCTCCAGAGCATCCAGGTAAGGAGTGGAGCCTGGACGTCGGAGGGAGGGCGGCTTGGCCTTTCCCCTCTGGCTCCCAGGTGAGCTTTTGCCTGCTTGCAGGCTCTCCCTCCTCCTCTCTCCTGTCCTGGGAGGGAGCGGGGAGGGAGGGGTGGCCACTGACTGAGGCGGGGCTGGGTTCTTGCAGTTCAAGCTGGCGGACATGGCGCTGGCCCTGGAGAGCGCCCGGCTGCTGACCTGGCGTGCTGCCATGTTGAAGGATAACAAGAAGCCTTTTACCAAGGTGCCTGTGGGGAAGGGGGTCCCCGGGCACGGCCCAGAGCTTTTGTGCGCTGAGGGAGAAGTCCAGGCGGGGTCTCTCTTCCTTGGGCCTTGTGGGCTTGCTGCTTCGCGGGGAGGCTCCCCAGGCCCGTCCTTGCTGAAGGGCCGTGAGCTGGGGGCTCCTTGAGTCTCAGACCCCACGGTCCCCTGTGCTTAGGAAGCAGCAATGGCCAAGCTGGCTGCGTCAGAGGCTGCAACTGCCATCAGCCACCAGGTGAGTGTTCCAGGTGCATGAAGAGGTACCTGGGCGTGAGGTCCCCTGGGTTGAGTAGCCGAACGTGGGCCCGCTGCCCCTCCCTCGTTGGTCCCTTACTGTGGCCGGTCCCACCCCTGACACAGCCTTTTCCCCCCTGATTCCCTGCTTTCCCCTGTAGGCCATCCAGATCCTGGGTGGCATGGGCTACGTGACAGAGATGCCGGCCGAGCGGCACTACCGTGACGCACGCATCACTGAGATTTATGAAGGCACCAGCGAGATCCAGAGGCTGGTGATCGCAGGGCACCTGCTCAGGAGCTACCGGAGCTGAGCGCCACTCAGTGCCAGGCTGGCTGAGGACCAAGGGGCAGGAGCCATGAGACCTTCACCCTGGCTCCCTGTCAGGGATACTGGGGGGTGGGGGGTGGACAGGCAGGTGGCAGGCCTGCCCTCTCTTGTGGACCCACCTGCTGCCCTCGCTCTGCCCGCCTCAGACCAGCCTGCCTGGGGCTTGAGTCTGGGAGAAGGGAGAGGTGAGCCCCGGAGGACACGCATCTTCAGCTCAGTGTTTTGGCTTTGCTTCCTCGTCACAACCGTGCCTCGTTTTCTTCACCCACATGGACCTGGCCTCCTGGCTGCAGGGCTGGGGAAGGGCTGAATTACCACTCTGGGACCCCCGTTTCCTTTCTTAGGTGGGACAGGCTCTTGGCAGTGTCTGCTCCTCTCCTTGAGGTCGGGGGTGGGAGCCAGAATGACCGCGCCTCATGGTAGCACAGTTGTGTTCTCCTGGGGGTTCCCAGGGTCGTCTCTGGGAGGCTGTGTGGCTGGGTCATTGTGAAGCACCCAGCGCCCCCCAAGCCTGTTCTTTGTAAATTATAAATAAACGGGAAGGGCTCTGAATCATTCTTTGGGACAGTCGAGCACAGAAGCTAATAAAGCGTACCTGTGCTCTGGTCCTTGCGTCCTTGTCTGGGTGCTGCTGGGGAGATGGCCTGCTGGTGTCCTCAGCCGCCCCCTGTGAGTGTGACTGCAGGGGCTGCCTTCTGCACGGGGAGCTCCAGCACCAGGCAGGGTTGACCCTGTTCAGGAAGATGCAGAGCTGGGGCTGGGGTGAGCGTAGTGGGTAGAGGGGGTGGGACAGTGACCTCAGGGTAGGGAAGGCAGGTCGGGGCCTCTGGGCCCAGAGGGCGATGTCAGGAGGCTGTGATTAGTGACCCCCCGCAGCCCCCAGCAGGAGGAAGGAGGGTGCCTGATAGGTGGGGAGGGGACAGGGACACCATGGAAACCGGGCCTCAGCAGCACCCTTTGCCGGCCACCTGACTGCTCACAGCGGCCGTGCTGAACCTGCTGGTGACGGGCCCAGTGCCCCCAGCTTTTAACGACTGCTGCCCAACGTGATGCAGCAGCGGCCAGAGAAATGGAGCAAAGACAGATTTCAGAGGAGCCGGGGTCAGCCCTCCCCACAAAGTCTCTGGAGGAACCTGGAGGCGAAGCCGTGACCCATTTGGAGCCCCCATCCCGCGGGCGTGCCCGCCTCTCTTGGTGGAAGAAGCTGCCGGGAGCCAGAGGCCCCACCTTCAGGCCCTTCCTTTGCTTGCACACAAGGGGCTGGGGGGCCGCTGGGCGCTGCGGGGCCTGGAGGTCGGGTCAGCCCTGCGCTGCAGGGCACGTCTTCCCCGCACACTTGGTCGGGCTGCAGCCCTGGCGCTCGCTAGGTCGGTTGCGGCCTTGGCGGGTGGACAGACGGACGTTGGGCTGGGTGGGCCGACAGACGTCCGGGTGATCTTCGCCCCTTCCTGCTCCAGGTGAGTGCCCCAGGGGCTTGGGTCCTAGCTCACACCCTCTTCGAGGCTCCCAGATCTGCCCCTGTCACCGCCGTGGGCTCAGGTGCAAGCCTAAGGTGCCGGGTGCAGGTGGGATTCGAGGCTTCTCCCCAGGAGCGGCCAGGTCTGACCCACCTCACTGGGAGCAGATGAAGGTCTGTCACTCCCGACACAGTGACCCCACGAACAGCTGGGAGGGGGTGTTCGGTGGCTCCATGACCCCTTCAGCCCGATGGCACTGGCCCCTGGCCCAGCTGAGGGTGAGGGAACAGGCAGGTAGGTGGTTCATGTTGTCCGGGCCACTGTTCTAGGCAGGGGGTGGGGGGGCGATGTTGAGGTTCAGAGGGGAACAGGGGGAGTTGGAACTGAGCCTTAGCCCCAGGCAGGGGAGCCCAGCTGGAAACCCAGCCCTCCTCCTCGGACTCACCCCTCCTGGCTTGGCTTCAGGCCCACCTGCTCCAAAGCATGTGGGTCTCCAAGGGCCGATAGGCCCCGGCTGGGGCTGCAGACACTGCTGTTGAGTCAAAGGGCCGGACGCCGGGGAACAGGCCTGTTTGCCAAGTCCCAGGCGGGTATCTGCTTCTCGGAACCGTGTGCGCCTCGCTGGGGAGACGGCGGGGAGAGCCTCACAGCATCAGGAGGGGCCGGGCGCTGAGTGGGGGCCAGACTGCCCTCTAGCCCTGCAAGGAGCCGTCATGGGGGGATGGGTGGGGGGTTAGTCAACTCCCCAGCCCTTGACTTTGACAAGGAGCAGGCCTCTGTCAGATGAAGCCAGCTCACAAGTGCGCGCCGACCTCCACGCCTGCGTCCGTTTGGACCTGAACTGTCGGAGTAGGTCTCAGACCTCACGTCCCTTTGTGCCCAGCGTGTCTTTCCTGGGAACGAGGACATTGGCTGGCGCACCCGCCTGCAGGAGGGTTACCGAAGTGGGGCGGCTTCCCGGCGGTCACCGGTCACACAGAGACCTCGGTCACAAGTTGTCCGCTGTCCCTTTGTCTTTCTCATTTGTTCTTACGGTCCAGGGTCACTTGCGCCATTGAGAGGCCTCTTGTCTCCTTCGCCCCAGGACAGCTTCTCCGATGGTGTTTGTTTCTCAGGACCTTGGCAGTTTGAAGTGTCCGGGCCGGTGGTTCGCAGACGGCCCCTGAGTCCAGGTTAGTCTGACGGTTTCTTCAGGAATGGCTGTATGCTCTGGATTTGGGGCAGTGAGAATGTGGTAAAGCTATTTTCTTGCTGACTTCTTGGTTAGTACGCTTTCTTCTGAATTAACCTGAGGTTTATCAATGGTTTCAGTCTCTCTAAAGAAACAGCTTTTGGCTTTACTGAGTTTCACTCTTGGGTTTTTAACATTTTGCTTGATACTTTGTTTCCTTCTATTATTTCTGGATTTTTCCAGCTTCCTGGGCTCAATGGGCATTGGGTTTTCAATCTTTTTTCCAATTTAAAGTTGCACATTTCTCTTTAGGCATGGCTTTGGCTTCCCTTTATAAAGTTTTTTTTTTTTTTAAACGTTCATTTTTGAGAGAGACAGAGACTGAGCATGAGTGGGGGAGGGGCAGAGAGAGGGAGGCACAGAATATGAAACAAGCTCCAGGCTCTGAGTTGTCAGCACAGAGCCCGACGCGGGGCTTGAACTCGGGAGCCATGAGATGATGACCTGAGCTGAAGTTGGACGCTTAACCGACTGAGCCCCCCAGGCGCCCTAGTTTCCCTTTGTAAATCTTGATATTGTGTTTTCGTTATTTCAGTATTCTGAGTTCCATTGCGCACACATTCTCCTAGACTTATTAGTTATTGAGAAGCGTATTACTTTATTAATATGCGATTTTCCTTGGAATTTTTTGGAATTAATTTTTTTGCACTTGTGGTAAAATACATATAATGTCAAATCTACCATTTTGCTTCAATGTGAGTCCAGTGGGATTTAGCACACGTATGGTGTATGTGCAGACCATCAACAAACACCATCTCATTCCAGAATGTTTCCGTCACTCCAGAAGGAAACTCCATACCCACTGGTATTGACCTTAAATGCAGTTGTGGCCTCAGAACATTTCCTGATTACTTACATTCTTTGAAATTTGTTGAGATTTACTTCATGGCCCCGAAGGCACTTTTCTGTAAGACCCAAATTGTGTTTAAGAGATTCTTTTTCCCACTTTGGTACATCCATGGTAGTTCATTTATTTTGATTCCTGCATGGTGTCCTATTGTATAAATACAGTTAGGAAGTTTCTAGTTTTTCACTGTCACAAACCGTGGTGCAGAGAACATTCTGGAATGCGTCTCCTTGTTCATGTTTGACAACTTCTGAGTGTTTGCTGGGCTTTGGACCGTTTCTTCAGCCTTACCAGATATTGCCACATTGCCTTCCTCCGCAGTCGGATCAGTATGCAACCTTCTAACAGGGTGAGAGCGTGTCCTTACACTATTTCTTCACCCTGATTGTGATTTTAACTTGCATCTCCTTGGTTATTATTGCACAGCTTTTTCACGTGTTTATCGACCCTTGTGGTTTCTACTGTGAATGGCCATTCGCGTCCTTTGTCCACTTCTTCCCTTACTAATTTATAATTGTCTTACGGGTTATATTTTGGACGCTAATCATGCGTCAGCTGTCTAGTTGCAAAAAAAGTTCATATGGTGTGTGGCTTCCACTTTTTAAAATGGTTTCACATTTTCATGTTCACTGTTTAAGCTTAAAAAATTGTTTTAGAACTAAGTTTTGTTCTCTGCGAACATTTCAGACACATGTTTTGTGGTAAAAATGACAGTCCCTTCTTGGGGATAGTTCCAGTGCATCGTGCCAGACCTTTCCCTGTGCGTCTGCGAACATCTCATTTACGTGTCCCCACTCCCCACAAAATGCATACTCCATGCATCAGTTAGCTTTAATCACTTTATATTTTTTCATGTCAATACATTAAAAATTTTTTTTAACATTTTATTTTTGAGAGACAGAGCGTGAGCAGGGGAGGGGCACAGAGAGAGGGAGACATAGAATCCAAAGCAGGCTCCAGGCTCTGAGCTGTCATCACAGAGCCCAACGCGGGGCTCAAACCCATAAACCATGAGATCCTGACCAGAGCTGAAGTCAGTCACTCAACTGACTGAGCCACCCAGATGCCTCTGTCTGTTGTAATTATTTTATATTTTGACTTATTTCTATTATTTTATATTCTCCCCCCTCTCCATTTTATTTTGCTTTTCATTTTTCTCCCTTTCTGCCTTTGATTGCATGCACTGAATTTTCTTATTTGTTAAAGTCGTGCATTCTAATTGTATTCTTCTGCTGGTTGAGGTAACTTAGGCCAGTAGTTAGGTTTAATTTTTCCTATCAATTTATTTAACTTCTTTTTTTTTAATTTTTAACATTTATTTATTTTTGAGACAGAGAGAAGCAGAGTGCGAGCAGGGGAGGGTCAGAGAGAGAGGGAGACACAGAATCTGAAGCAGGCTCCAGGCTCCGAGCTGTCAGTGTAGAGCCTGATGCGGGGCTTGAACCCACGAATTGTGAGATCATGACCTGAGCCAAAGTTGGACGGTCAACTGACTGAGCCACCCAGGCGCCCCAATCATCCGTTATTTTTTTGAAAATCGTTTACTGCTGATGTAGTCAAGCTTCTTTTATTTCTGTGCGTTTATCTGGTTATGCTGAAGAGCTTTCTTGTTTATTCTTTCAACAGATTGCCTCCTCAGAAAAGCTAGGTCATCATTGCCAATGGTCCTTTCTAGATTACGCCTCTCATTTCTTTTTCTGGCCATGTTGCATTGACACCTGCATGGCCACCCCTGCTTCATGGGAACACCTCAGAGGTGTCACTGTTAGGTATGACATCTCTTGCTTACACGTTTCTGGGGAGATACCCGTTAGTGACTTAAGGAAATTTCCATCTGTTTCTAGTTGGTGAACAGATTTTTCTTCTTTCTAATGAGGAAAGGGTTACAGATTTTTAAAATGTGTCTTGAAGGTGATGGCTTTTCTCCAGTCTGCAAATGTGTGGAATTACATTAACACTTTTCTCACGTTTGCTATGGATGTTCTGGTATGAAACTTAATTGGTCATGGTTTATTATTTT